GGAGCCAAAAGTGCCCTTTTTATTAAGCCAGAGGTATTCTGGTTCATTTGCAAAGCTGCAGTCTCTCTGGTGTCTGTGACATTATACTTACTTGTATACATCATTTTCAATAGGCAGCAGATCATAACTCATAGCCTGAAAAGTCAACTCATGGAGCACAGGAGAGCTGGGGTCAAAGCCTCGGTCCAAGATCAGGAGCTGAGAGCGCGCCTTGTCTGGGCCCTGTGGAGAAACAGGCAGATGCCTCACCAGCTACTCCCACAACTCCAACTTCTCCTATCAAGCTAGAAGAACACTAATAAATACCACATGAGACTCTGATGTTTCTGTTTCACAACGAGGGCACTTTGAAGCAGAACTAAAACTGCTGGGAGCTGAAGTGAGTTTATATATGTAGGAAAGCTGCCCAGGTTCAACTACAAATGGGATGACCAACCACTGAGAGAGCCAGGGGCTAAAGGGGTTCTCAGGACCCGGGACTTTCAGTTTTAAAACCCCGGTAGTGATGGAACAGCTCTGGATCTTGATTGCAATGGTGGTTACATTTATCTATAGAAGTGGTAAAACTGCCCAGAACTGTACCCACACTAATTACCTGGAAAAACTAGTAGAATTTGAATGGGGTTTGAGATTGTACCAATGTCAACTTTCTGGTTTTGCTATACTCCTGGGGGTTTTCCAGGATGTGGGATAATCAGAGCTGAAACTGGGAAACAGAAACAGGCTGGCCCCTGGCTGTACTGAATATGTCTGGCTTTCCTAGGGGCTTTGGCATTTCACAGGAGCCAGTATCCAGGAATAGCCACATTCACGTTTGCTCTGTGAGCAACTGAACGGAGCTATCCTTGGGACTGGTACACAAATGCTGAGAACCAGGTGATCCAAGCCAAACTTACCTCCCCCATTGTTGGGTCATCAGCTTTATAGGCATCAAGCTTGTCCTGAATTAGCTGAGCCAGCAAGGCATTGTCCTTGTATTCCCTGACAAAGGAGGAATGACACAGTATGAACCACCTATGTACCAAACAGTGGTATCCACTGCCCCTCCACCCCCCAAGAGAAGTAGGACAGTGCAAGGAGTGCAGGGAAGATGTGTGCATGTTAGTTACAATGAAAATACATTCATATACCACATGTATAATTAAAAAGGAAAAGCAAAATAAAATACTCAGCTCATGGCTCACACCTATAGCTCAGCGGCTAGGGCACCAGCCACATACACTGGAGCTGGTGGGTTCAAATCCAGCCCAGGCCTGCCAAACAACAATGACAACTACATCCAAAAAATAGCCAGGCATTGTGGTGGGCACTTGTAGTCCCAGCTACTTGGGAGGCTGAGGCAAGAGAATCACTTAAGCCCAAGAGTTTGAGGTTGCTATGACCTGTGATGCCACAGCACTCTACTGAGGGTGACATAGTGAAACTCTGTCTCAAAAAAAAAAACCCACTCAGTCCAGTCATCTAAATAGAAACAGAAGGAGTCTTCCCAATAAGCCACCACCCCTTAGCAGAGGCCCTGACCATTCACCCATCTCCCGTGACCAGGGCTCTGCGCCTGACCCATACGACTCTCACTCCTCTTAATTCACATTTCCTTGGGTCTTGTTTTGTTAACAAGTGACATTCCAGCTGGCACAGCCAGAATGGTATGAATAAGAACCTTTGAAAATATTTTTATTTATTTTTTCGAGACAGAGTCTCAGTTTGTCACCCTCGGTAGAGTGCTGTGACATTGCTACTCACAGCAACATCAAACTCTTGGGCTTAAGCAACTCTCTTGCCTCAGCCTCCCAAGTAGCTGGGACTACAGGCCCCTGCCACAACACTGAGCTGTTTTTAGAAATGGGGTCTTGCTCTGGCTCAGGCTGGTCTCAAGCTCCTAAGATCAGGCAATCCACCTGCCTCAGCCTCCCAGAGTGCTGCGATTATAGGCGTGAGCCACTGTGCCCAGCTGAGTGAGAACCTTTAAACCTTTCCCATAGCGAGTCTGCAGTGCTCCCTGGGCCCTTCTTGACTTGATGAGATGGGTTAGTGCTGCCCACCACCTGGCCAGCCTGCATCCAGCTGGGCTCTCACTCTCTGTCAGGAGATCTGCCAGGGCCCTATGTCTTAAGTGCCACCAGGCTATTGTCAGTGAGTACCAATAACGGAAGGAAGCCAGGCTCTGGCGCAGCCACAGGGAGGAGTTTTGTTATAGCCATGAGTCCCCACAGGCAATGAAGCAATGAGCTAGGCCTGGTACCACCATACTCCCGATCACCTTGGCTCAAAGCCATGGCAGCTATAAGCCTTCGTGCCTTATCCCTAACCTGTCTGCAGTTCCCAAGTTGGGCAGAGTCTACCATCGCACTCCCAAGGCCATCCTCAGCTGTCACTCTGTGTCTGGGCCCTTCACTCCCCCTGCAGTGGCCTTCTGCTCAGCCTCCTTGCCCTGACTCCCATTCACACTCCCACCTTCATGTTCCCAGAGCACTGTGGTCACTGCCCTGTCCCAATCCCCCCGAGGTGTCACAGGGATATCGAATGAAGGACATAATCCCAAACCTGGCATTTGAGGCCTCTCAAATCTCATCTCATTTTATTGCTCTATACAGATAACTGTGCCATATCAATAGCAAGAACCAAATGTGCACACAAAATGCCATCCCCTCTCATCTCCACTGGTCTATCATCACCTCTAATCTGAAGCTTTAACTCATCCTCAACTGAAGGGCCCTCTCCGTACTTTGGGTACCCCAAGGCACTTGGTCTGGCCTGTCCTATAGAGTTGAGGTCACAGGAGTATCTCTCCCGGGCACAGATGCTGGGATGCCTATCTTACCAACCCTCTCAGCCCAGGGGCTGTGTCTTCAGTTTCAAGTCCCCCAGCACTCAGCAAGTGAGGAGTGAATGGCTTTATGAAATCTTAGGAATATGTCTTTCAGGGAGTTATTCTCTTTGTATTATATCTTACTCTGAAATATCTTTTGGAAGATGATATTTGTTTTTAAAGACTAGGAAGAGAGGCTTGACGCCTATAGCTCAGCAGCTTGGATGCCAGCCACATATACCAAAGCAGGAGGGTTCAGAACCTGGCCCAGGCCTGCTAAACAACAATGACAACTGCAACAAAAAAATAGCCAGGCATTGTGGCAGGTGCCTATAGTCCCAGCTACTTGGGAGGCTGAGGCAAGAGAATCACTTAAGCCTAAGAGTTTGAGGTTGCTGTGAGCTGTGATGCCATGGCACTCTACCAAGGGTGACAAACTGAGACTCTGTCTCCAAAAATAAATAAATAAATAAATAAAGACTAGGAAGAGATTAAAAACTGTATGAAGCCTGATTGTAGTTACATAGGGGTTCAACTTTCAGTTAGTTAATAACTGAATGTATATATATTTACGCTCTTTTCTGTATGATTATTATATTTCACTATAGAATTTAAAAGATTAACAAAACCATCGGAAGAATAATTTTAAGTGAGGGACCCTTAAATCTTGACTCATTCCCCTTTTTTTTTCTTTTTGAGACAGTATCTCACTCTGTGCTTCCCGGGTAGAATGTCATGGCATTAGCCCAGCTAACGGCAACCTCAAACTCCTGGGCTCAAGTAATCCTCTTGCCTTAACCTCCTGAATAGTTGGGACTACAGGTGCCCACCACAACATCTGGCCAATTTTTTTTTTTTTTTTTTTTTAGTAGACACAGGGTCTCACTCTTGCTCAGGCTGGTCTCAAACTCCTGAGCTCAAGCAATTCACCCTCCTTGGCCACCCAGAGTGCTGGGATTACAGGCATGAGCCACGGTGCCCAGCCTTGGCCCTCTTGACATAGCTGCTGGGGGAACCTTAAGGCCAGAAAGGTCTGGGCCAGCTCCTCACTTGGGCCCACATGGGATGCCACTTGAGGCAGACCGGTACGCTGCCTTACCCCCGGTACCGCACTGCAGGGTACTCCTTCAGGGTGGCGCACAGAGTTGCAATCTGCTCTGCCAGACGCTCCAATATGGGATTCTTCATCTGAGCCTTGTGGGGACTGTAGAAACTTTGGAAAGAGTCTGCAGAGTCTAAGGAATACACCTGAGGAGGAGAAGAAAATATATAAGAACTGGTAGAGTATTCTCCAGCCCTGGCAGTGAGTCTGCAGAACACGTCCCTGTTTACTCTACAAACATGTGTTGGGGGCCTGCCGTGTGCCAGACAATGTGCTAAACACTTGAGAACTACAAGTAATGAAAGCATCTCTGTTCCCAAGAAGTCTGCCATTCCATAGAAGGCAGATAAGAAACATAATGAAAAGCGAAATTATGTGGTATTGAAAACAGGGTAAGTATACAGTACAGAGAAAATAACAGAACAGAGCAGGAATGCCCATGAGGCTGGATAGAGAAGACACTAGGATTCACTGGGAGGGCTACATCTGAACAAGGGCTTGAGGAAGGTAAGGTGTTTGTCGCCAGCAGAGGACTTGCATGTGGAGGAAACAGGCAGCACCAGGGACCTCAGGCCAGTGTGTGCCTAGGGTGTCTGGTGAACAGTGACAAGACCAGGAGCAGAGCAGGAGAGATTAGTGTAAGACTCCACAGGCCATTGTAAGCTTAGTTTTTAATAAACAAGAGGCAAGCTAGATTCTATGCTGTGACAATAAGCAAACAAAGAAGCTTTTTATAGATTTAATAATACACTCTCCTCAGTAGTGTGTTCTAAGTATTTTTATTTTTTATTTTTTTTAAGAGACAGAGTCTCACTTTATCACCTTCAATAGAGTGCTATGGCATCACAGCTTACAGCAACCTCCAACTCCTGGGCTTAGGCGATTCTCTTACCTCAGCCTCCCAAGTAGCTGGGACCACAAGCACCCGCCACAACGCCCGCTATTTTTTTGTTGCAGTTTGGCCAGGGCCGGGTTCAAACCCACCACCTTCAGTATATGGGGCTGGTGCCCTACCCACTGAGCCATAGGCGCTGCCCCTAAGTATTTTTCTTTTCTCCTGTTTTTGGCAGGAGAGTTCTGGAAGTTTAAAATTCCCTCTTAAACGAATGATTATATGAGCAATCGGTATTCTCTCAAGTTCTCATTTATGTAAGCTACCTTTATCTTCTAAAAAATCAGATATTTGGCTCAGCGCCTATGGCTCAAGCGGCTAAGGCGCCAGCCACGTACACCTAAGGTGGTGGGTTCGAATACCCAGCCTGG